TTTAAGAGACTGAGCTGAATACAGCACCTCAGACTGAGGAAGTCTCTTGGATGAGAGACGAAACGTTTCTAGATTTTTTTGCTTTGGTTTGTTTTTTGTTTTTTTGAATGTCCAGAGGACCAGATTGAACTTTTTTGGATTTTTCTACCTGGATTATTGAGCATGCATCAGGAAACAGAAACAGAGTTAGCAATGAGCAAAGTAGCATCGATGCTAACTAATAAGGAGCACTTCATGGGCAATAGCGTCAGCCTCTTTTATTTGTTCAAAATATGCTCAAAACTGATTGCATTAATGACTTAAAATATGCTTAAATTTAGAATAAACTCACCGTCTTCCATCATGGATTCCAGCCGAGCAGTGGCTGTGTCCAGGCTACTCACTCTCCCATTGCTAGCAGGGCGATTACCGTAAATGGCATCCATTACATCAAACCATTTCCAACTTCGTCAGTTAGATTTGCTCCTGCCAATATGGTCTTTTACCATGCGGTAGTCGCTTTTAAGTTTCTTTAGTTTTTCGTGGCATTGCTTCGGTGTACGATGGTACCCCTGGGAAATCATCCACTCCGACAACTCTTTAAAAATCTTTTTGTTGCGAGTCAATCCGTCCAGCTTCCTCTGAACATTTTCCTCGCCCACCAAGCACAAAAATACCTGCACTTATGTGTTGGTCCACGATGTTGACATTATTAGTTTTTATATTGTGTCCTGCAGATCCTGCGACTTGAGAGTTTTTGCGGGCTGGAGAGAAAATGGCGGATTGTGGAAAGTTTTCAGTTTCAACGGCTCCGCCCGCGACTCCGCCCCCGACCAATCAGTGACCGACAGTGTTCTGACGTCACATTTTAGTACCTACTCATTCAGGTTAGAACCACAGAGCCAAAGGTCCTGAAAATAGTAACAGGTCCCAAGTACCGGTACTAATGGAAAAGCCTCAGAACCGGGCCAAGTCGGGTCCAGTCGGCCCGTACCTGTACTAACGGAAAAGGGGCATTAGTTTGCTGTGGCCACCCCTGAGGGAGAAGCCGAAAGAAGGAGGGGAAAAAAAAAAAAACCTGTCTAAAAGATTTGAAAAGAATCAGGTCTTCAATGGGGTTCAGATGAAGACACTGTCATGGTCAGCCTAATCTCCAGAACTGAACCCCATTGAAAAGCTCTGGAATGTGATCAAAGGAAAATAGATGGTCTTGAGTCATCAAACATAACTGGGATGATTGGATTTTTGCTCCAGGAGTGACAAAAAGTTGCCCAACTTCAATGTGACAGACTGGTGGTGAGCATCACAAGACACATAAAAGCTGTGAAAAGTCAGGGTTGTTGCACTAAATATTGATTTTTGACTTCTTCCCGAGTTAAAACATTAGTATTGCGATGTGTTAAAATTAATATGACCTTGTTTTTGTTGTCTAAAACCGCTGCACACTATGTTACTCTGGCCATTTGTCATGTTCTGCAGATAAATGTTCTTAATGGCAATATTTTTATTTTTAACACTTGAAAAAATGTGGTCAGTAGGGTATAGAATGAAAAAAAAAATCACTTTACTCAAACTCATACTTATGAATAGTATAATCAAATAAATTCTGATAAAACAGTAATTTTGTAGTACACACTTATTTTGTTCTAGAGCTTATATGACTAAACAATAAATCCTATCATGTCCTGTCATTTTAATCCATTGCAACAAAAAAAAAAAAAAAGAGAAATTGCCTATTTCCTGCAGGTTCGCCAGTTTCTTATAGAAACTTTAAAACAAGCTAGAAAGACATCACATCATAGTTTGACTTGATTTTGATTTCCTCTTGTACCAACACAAAAAAAAATTGCTGTTATTTGAACTACATTTTTTCTCCGTCCTACTTTGGGTTCATTTTCCAGGTATAAGAAAAATATATTTTTCTTCTTGTAATTAGTTGCCTTATATCCTGCTCTTTTATTTTTCCTTCCATTTTCTTTGGTGTTGTTGGCTTTTCATAGAACTCACCACATAATTGTAGGTGCAATGCACTGTCTGCCAGCCTTGAAGTTATAATGAGGTCTGTGTGTTTCTCCGAAGACAACAGAGAAACACACTATTTCATCCTATTTTCTGGACGGATGGGTGGTGGATGGGGGAGAGCGAGGGCACTGAAAAAACGTTTGTTTGTATTGAAACTGACAGAGGGCGGCAGATTTGAAGCATAAAGTAATAAGTTCTCTGAATGTCCCATAGCAGAAAGATTTTAGCTGTGATACACATTTAGACAAAAAAAAAAAGAAATGGATATGAACCACAAGCTCTTTTTTTAAACCATATCAAGAGAAAGGATATTGCCAGTTGTGAAATCGACAGATTCTCAGCCCAGTTTTATAAAGTCCTGTTTGTGATGTGGTGAAAATGGTGTAGAGTGGTAGAAATAGCTTCATGGACAGCAATAAATAAGTTTTATCTCAAGACAGAACAAAACAGACAACAAAAAGCCAAGCAGTGAAGACATGTGAGATCATTGCTTAATGTAGGGATATGCTGGAGTTGAGACATCTTCTGCTCTCCTTTTATGACTTCTTGTCACGTCTCAGTCACCAAACAGTGTTATCATACCTGTCCACTGTTAATGCTGCAAAGCTTTCACATGATGTAGTATGGCTGTGCCTATTTTAAGGTCTGTCACATTTAATAGCTCTGAAGCCACCTGCCAGTCATCTGCCAGTGTGCGAGTCATCAGACATGCTTCATTTCATGACATACTGTAAATACCAGTTAATGGTCCTCAACAGTGCCATTGCACGTATTGAAACATTTCTTCAGTGCATAGTCAGTCTCATTTTACCTGACCTTCAGGTTTGTCACAAACATGATGAATGGTCTGCAGGCTAGAAATATATTCTATAGATTTATCTAGGTATGATAAAGATGTTACGAACTCATGTGTTATTATCTTTCTTCACAGGGAGACGCCGGCCTCCCTGGAGACTCAGGGCTGTCTGTAAGTTCACACTGTTTCATTTGCATCTCATTATGCTCTCTGTATACAGTGCGTAAGGTCGTTCAAATGCTGAATTGAACACAAGGGTTATGACCTGAATAGGCAAGGATGTCCTTTGCAAATATTACAACCTTTTGGGCCAACCAGACAACTGCACACTGAGGTAAAACATATGGCCAACAGTGCAGGCGTTCAGGTGAGCAGTCTCTGTGTCACATTACCATTGCCTGGGTAGGGGGTCAAACAAAGAGCAGATAGAAAGGGCTCAAAGGGCTATGCCAAAAAGGATAGGGATGAGCAACCAGGTGGAGAAAAGTTTAGTTTCAGGCCTCAGGATGAGAGCTGGAGAGTGACAGTTGGGTGCTGGCCATATCCTACATGGGTAAGACGTGAATTTACTACAGGGCCAATGCCTGCCTCTGCAGATGTCTTGTGAAGGAATGTTCCAGCCTTCTAATTAGATGGACTTTTTGATCTTTTACTTTATCATGCATTATCAAACATACACCTAATATTCTGTGCACTCACAAAACAACGTAATTTCTGGTCGGGTGTGTGTTGGGGGGATTTCACCTTATTTTGTCAGGTTCTTTTAAGACAAAATGACCATGTGCTAAAATCTAATGCTGATCGTATCAACACGATTATTTAGGACTAATTTCAGTGTTTAGTCATGTTAGAATGGGTTTGTTCAAGGTAAATGTTTGGATTTTATTGTATTTATTTATTTGGGGGGGGGGGGTCATTTTTACAGTTGTAAATAAATACATGTGTTTGTGGAGGAGTGGTGGTGCAGAGGTTAGAGAAGGTGAACCTGTGATCGGAAGATCGCTGGTTCAGCTCCCAGTACTAACAACATCAAAACGTGGGTGGGACAAGTGAAGCACTCACACCTGCCTCCACCCTCATTTGCTCCACTTTGGGCCCTTGAGCAAGGCCCCTAATGCTCCCATCTGCTCCTCCAGGCACCCTAGATGGCAGCCCCCTGCTCCACACAGAGGGCTGTGGTAGCTCGGTGGTCTGGTTGTGTCAGGAAGGACATCCGGCGTAAAAATAATTCCCAAGTCTTCATGCGACTTAGTTTGCTGTGGCGACCCCTGAAGACGGGAGCAGCTGAAAGAAGAAAAAATAAAACTAAATAAATTACGTGTTTACAATCCCACTGACACAAAAGGTGTCTTTTCAAATGTTAAGGGAGAGTTGGCGTCACTATCAGAAAACCGTTAAAGCTGCCAAATGTAAATTATTTTCTGATTTAATTGTCTCCAACTCCCACAACCCCCGAGTTCTTTTCTCCACCCTGAACTCAGTTCTACACCTCAGTGAGCCTTCACCTCTGGAAGCCTCAACTGAGCTGTGTGAAAACTTCCTCCATTTCTTTTTAGAAAATGTGGCAAACACCCGGGCACTCATTTCTCCACCAGCTCATGATCTGTCCATCCCATCTCAGTGTGTGGCTGTGTTTGACCACCTTGAGCCCATCTCTCTGTCCTCTCTGGAGCAGGTAATGTGCAGCATGAAACCATCTGGAAGTTTTTCCTACACTGGGTCCTTTTATCCTCGCTATTCTGAATAGCAGTTTATCCTCAGGTGTGGTGCCAAAGACTTTTAAACATGCTGCTGTCCAGCCCCTCCTAAAAAAACCTAACCTTGACCCCTCAGTCATGTCCAACTTCCGGCCTGTCTCCAGACTCCCATTCACCTCTAAACTACTGGAAAAAATTGTGGAGTCTCAGTTGAAACAGTTTTTGGGGGATCACGCTATCCTTGAGTTATTCCAATCTGGCTTCAAATCTCTCCATAGCACTGAAACTGCTCTACTGAAGGTTTTTAATGACATTTTCATATCCACAGACGCAGGTGATTCTGTGCTGCTTGTCCTATTGGACCTTACATCTGCTTTTGACACCATCGACCACAATATCCTCATTTCTAGACTGGAGCAGTGGGTGGGCATCACAGGGTCAGCCCTTAAATGGTTTGGGTCCTACCTCTCTGACAGAACCTTCTGTGTCAATATCAAAGATTTTAGTTCGGCATCGACCGCACTCCAGTGGGGGGTACCGCAGGGGTCCATCCTCGGTCCCCTTCTCTTTTCTTTATACCTGCTGCCACTAGGTGCTATCTTCCGCAAACACGACATACCCTTTCATTTCTATGCCGATGATTGCCAAATTTACTTCCCCCTGAGGCACAGAGGCACACGCTTTATTCAGCCTCTTCTTGACTGCCTGGCTGACATCCGGGACTGGATGGCTTTAAACTTTTTAAGCTTCAATGAGAAGAAGTCTGAAGTCATGCTGTTCCATCCCAGTGGCTCACTCATGAACCATGACATTGACCTTTTCTCTCTAGCCCCGCTAGAGAAACAAAAGGTGACTAATCTGGGGGTGATAATGGACCCGTCCTTAAAACTCAACAGTCACGTAAACATGATGGTCAAATCCTGTTTTTTTCAGCTGAGACGGCTGTCTAAGCTGAAGCCTATACTCTCCAAAAAGAACCTCGAGACAGTGAGCCACGCCTTCATAACATCTAGGCTTGATTACTGCAATTCACTTCTGTTTGGAATCAGTCAGTCCTCCATTGCTCGTCTACAACTGGTCCAAAATGCTGCAGCCCGATTTTTAACTGGTACAGGCTATAGAGAGCACATCACGCCAGTTTTGGCCTCCCTGCACTGGCTACCCATTCACCTTCGGATCCATTTCAAAATGCTCATGTATGTTTTTAAATCACTGAACAGTTCCGCCCCATCCTATCTCACTGATCTTCTGCAGCCATATGTCCCAGCGCGCTCTCTGAGGTCAGCAGACCAGATGCTTCTCTCAGTCCCAGAAACCCGTCGTAAGCTCAGAGGTGACAGGGCTTTCTCTGTTGCAGGTCCACGACTGTGGAATGAGTTGCCACTGAGTGTCCGGCAGGCTCCCACACTCTCAGTCTTTAAGTCTCGCTTGAAGACACACTTCTATTCGCTTGCCTTTAACACGGTGTGATTTGTTTTGGTCCGGTCTGTTCTCTACTCTGTTGGCCATTTTAGTTAGCTTCTGCTGCTATTTGTATCTGTATTTCTATTTTATGTTTTCCTGTCTGCTGTGCATGTTTGGTTCTTTTGTACAGCACTTTGGTTGGCCTTGTTGCTGTTTTAAGTGCTATATAAATAAATTGGTATGGTATGGTATGGTAAAAAGGCACCAAGTGCTTTATGTCATTTGTCAGAGTTGTTTATATATAAAAAAAAAAAAAAATGAAGTGAAACAGGATTTTTAGCTAAAGCTGGGAAACATAGTGTTCCTTTAAAAAGAACATTTAAAAATTAGTAAAAGAAAAAAGTTAGCAACCAACATAAATGAAGACGTAAAGTCATTCCTAAAAGATGCATTTGAAACAATTTATGTATTTAACACAATATAATTGATTCATTATGAGCCAGCAAAGTTCAGTCAGGTCATCTGGACGGTTTCTTTTCATTTTTGTTGAGACATTTCATCTTTCATCCAAAGGACTCCATCAGTCCTACAAGCAGCACGATGGGGTAGAGAGCAAACTGGTTGGCCCACTATGTTGGCCCACTTGCCTACAAGGCATTCATTTGTTGAAAAACTGGTAAAATCTTCAAAATAGAGTAATGCAAAATACTGAGCAATATTACAAGATCTCATGTAATCTGTTAGCCCTTAATGTATGTGTTGGGAATCACTCTCATCCACTACACAAAAGGTTTTAGTTTGATTTCTGTAAAGTTGACTGAGTTATAGCTTTTATTGTTTGTGCTAAGTGGAAATAGGTGTCACAGCTGTCTTTATTTGAATTGACTTCAAATGTTAATTAGCTGTAGATGAATATTTCTGAGAGTTTCATTAACATTCGTCGAGTGGTTTGTGAGATTTTTTTTTAAACGGATAAACAAACACGCACACGGGCAGAAACTGTACCCTTCACCTTTTTTGTCTTTCAAGTGCAGGTGATTAAAAACAATGTTAATGTGTGAAATGTTGTTCAGTATTAATAATTAAAGTCAACAAGCTGTTTTATTATTTAGTGTCAGATTATTATTTGTACCCACAACAAGAATAAATTACCTACCAATCCTAAACTTTATGTTAAACAAACATATTTTTATTTCAGTTAAAACCAACATATGTCTTGGGAGTTTTTTGAGTGTATGCCAGCAATGAAACAATCTTTATGACGCATACAGTCCTGCACCAGTATGTGTCCATGTATACTTGTATTGTCACCATTCAACACAAATAATGAATGTGTGGACACACAGGCAAAATGCACAGACCTAATGCTTTGTGGACAAGGAGTTGTGGCAGCTGCAGATTAGAGGTATACTGTGGGTGGGTGGTTAATTATGTGCACATCATGAGGGGATCAGCTTGCCAGTTTAAATCAGCATTGCAGGAACATTAAAAAAACTACAGAGCTGCTGCTGACGGCTTGCCCCGTTTATGTCACCGAAGTGCTTACGATTCCCACAGACCTCTGCCACTATTCATTAGCTATTCTCTAATGCTAATTTTATGTAACAAGGAAAGTAACATGCATGCCCTGACAAACAAACATGGCGTTAGCAAACTTCCTTGCTTCATGCCAGTAAATTAGCTGGTGAGTCTGAGCAGAAAATGTCGGCGGTGCGTTATTAAAATACCAACTTGCTGTTACTTCATTGTATGGCTTGTTACACATGGTCAAACTGTGTTCACAATCCGACTAAAGATGACGATTTATAAAGAAAACAGCAGGGCGAGTAAGGCATGTTTTATTTAAGACATCACCGCTCTCTTTAGAGATGCATCTGAAAACTGTTTGGGTTTTCAGCCACCTTGTTGTCTTTTATGTCCCGCCTTACTTTGCATAATGCCACTGACTTATAAGAAATGTTCATTTTATCAGCTATTTCTGCTCAAAAGTAGCTGTGTTAGACTGCCGGATGCCAATTGCAAAAAGAGCAGTAATTATTTACCAGGAATCTGAAAACCGAGACGTTCAGCATGTGGCCTTGTGTTTACTCTGCTGCCTGGAGGGTAGATTACCCCGTCTGCCCTCTGATGGCAGCAGCCAGCGGGGTGTCTGGAGAGTTGTGATAGTCACGGAGTAACTTCTCATCAGATCACCTTGGTCAGGGATATCTACCTCATTATCAACTTTATTGCTTGCAAATAACTGATATTGCTTCATATATGTTGTTTTATTTGTATTGAATTGTTTTAATTAATGGTATTTCTTTTTTTTAGGCCAACAGCGAATGTCTGAAAGGAGATCAGGTATGTTAACGTTAATTATCACAACTGCCCAAACGTTACAGCATAAAATAATATTCTTGTTCATGGCTGCATGTGTTTGTGTGTCTGTTACAATTTAAGTGAAACTTGCAGAAAGTAATAACTGTTTGACATCTACAACTGATTGAAGATTCAAGAAGGCCGCCATAGTCAACTGAACGTAAAACACAAAAATTAGCTGTAATTCTGTCAATTTTACAAATATTGACCTAAATTTGTGTGTGGTAGCAGCAAAGATTGATCCTTAACTTGTATTCTGAGTGCTAACAGGTTCTTTTTTAAGATCTTTTCTCAAACCATTGCCATTAACACCATAGTTCATGCTCAATAATCCAGGTGTAACATCCAACAACAAAGTTCAGTCAGGTCATCTGGACGGTTTCTTTTTGCTGATACGTTTTGTCCTTCATCCAAAGGACTTCCTCAAGCCGAGAAGCCACCAAACAAAACTGATTCCCACAAACAGCATACTCCATAGTGGGGAGGAAAATAAAACAGTTTTCTTGTGCTAAGATGGCCTCTGTGGCCCGTCCTCTCCCTCGTTATCTCCTCTGAGACAGTCATGCCAAGTGGTTCAAAACATCAAACTTCATGCTCAATGATCCAGGTATAAAATCCAACAATGTTGCCATTAACTATTTAGCGTAAACTCTGTTAGCAAAATATCTTGTAAACCATTGATACACACAAGGATATAATTCAGTTAAATTTGTAGCGTTGTGCTAAAATGAAGTGTGGTTGTAGCTGAGAGTCATTCGTAATATATTCTCTAAGTGCTACTCATTGTGGAAGGTTTAAGCTTAAAAATGTAGTTTAACTTTAATTAACTTACTTACTAACTTAACTTTAATTATTGGAAACCGTTACCAAAATATTTATGGAGCACTCGTTGGATTTAATTGAAGTTGTTAGAAATTAATCATTGGCTGTACATCAACAACCAATTAACTTGTGGTGTCAATCCAATTTTTTCAAGATGGCTGCCGCACCAATTGGACATAAACTAAAACAAAACTGGCTATGACTCAGTCAATTTTACAAATATTGACTTAAAATTTGATGAGGTAGAGGCTGAGAGTCATTCACAACTCATACGCTGAGCATATTTTATAAATCACATGAAATTGAGCATAACATTAGTTTGAACTTTAGCTACAACTGTGTCACTTCTCAACAGAGGATGAACTTATTGCAAAACCTTAGCATGAAAGGTATAGGGCAATGTGCATTCTTTCAAGACATATATGGCTATTAATAAAGTCTATTTTACTGGTTTAAGTATTTTTATTTATTAGATTTTTATTTTTTTTTATTTTGTGACTGTGCTTTTTGTAAACACAAATCTTGCTTTTACACTTTCAGGGCCCTCGAGGAGAAAAAGGCGAACAGGTAAAACATAAACGCCCACATTGACGCTCACAATCTTACATTCACTTGTTTTGATTAATTTTGTTTTTCTTGTTATACAATGTTCATGCAACTTTCTTTATCGCTCACAAAAGCACAACTATTAGGTAGAACAAGAAACTACTGCAGCACTATACGCTTACCCTTTCACAGGAGCATAAAGTCAATGTATACTTTGATTAACTTGCTAATAGTTTCTTATCAGGACAATGTGGAGAGTAATGGAATGGAGTCCTGATCAAGTGAGGCTGCAAATAGCCTATTAAGGGCATATTGAAGAAGTCACCTAGAAGCTATTCATGTTAAAGACTTGAAACTACTGCTTTACGTACACCTTTTATATAATACAGCTAAGTTGATTGGGTGCATCTAATACTGGCTAATGAACTCGATATCCTCTGGTCTGCTGAGAACATATGGCTCAAACATTGACAGTCTGTGTCTGTTTTTGCAAGAAGCAATGTATAAAGACTTTCTGCAATGCTAAACATATTACCTAATTTAGTCTAACACATGTCCTTTCCTCAGGGAGTGCCGGGTCAGCCAGGCAAAGAGGGCAAAAGGGTGAGTAAACAGACACAGTTAACCAGTTGTGTGGCCTGGCTCGTGCTTGCTTTGACTGAGAGGCCTGCAGGAACAGCAGCTGAGTGGCTGTTGTTTTTGTAGACGACCCTCGGTGGCAGCAGGCCTAAAAAAAAAGAGAGAGAAGAGATGGGGAAAGCACGTTGTATGACAGTTAATGAATGGGATTCATGGTCAAAGGGTCATCCACACTCTCACAGAATGACTGGCAGCACACATGGTTATGCCACACTGCGGTGAGTGGTTTTAGGTTTCTACAAGCCAGATTTGGAATAGAAACAATGTCTGTGACCGACTCAACTGATTTATATTATCGTATTTATTAATTGTCACTTCTTATTGTGTCTGTAATTTAATCTTGGCACTCTGACATACGTTGAATAAGCATAAAATTATAAACTCTTGCGTTTTGCAGCGTTCTTCTGTGGCCAGCCTGTCAATTAAACAACCCTTCTTAGTATTTCTGTTTGTCTAACAGGAAGAAAAAAAAAAAATCACAAAAACGAATGAAAGAAATGGCTCTGCAGCAGCAAAATCTAAAATTCACAGCCGGCTGAGCTGTGGAACGCCCCTAAGTAGGTCAAGCAAATGTTCTTTTTAGATTAAGCTCGAGTCAAGACGATGCAGCAGACTGAAAACATGTGGACACATGTTTGTCGAGAAAGCCACCCTTCTCAAATTACAAAACTTCTTCAAACACCGTGGAAAATTTAAGCTCTATCATCAGTTTTGTTTTTATTTTTTTCCTTTATGGATCATTTCCCTGAATGACTTGAGTTACAGAAACTATTGTGATGGGAGTATTTAAAATGAAAAATAATCTTTTTGGTGTTGTATCTGCCTCATTAGTCATTGTTGGACTTGTGAGAAAGCTGGGACTCAGAGGCATCATTGAGTGTTTGCACTTTTGTTCTAGAGTACATTTTTATGATAAATCATAAATGAGTGAGAGAAAATAGACCTCTTTGTTGGATGTTCTGTGTTTTTGGATTCCCACCATTATATATACCGTACTTTTCGCCGTATAAGTCACACTTTTATTGCATACATTTGCATGCCCTTCAACCTATATGGCAAAGAGACTTATTTATGTTTTTTCTCCCCATATTTATAAACAAATTTTTGGCTGAGATCTGACGATTTCATTCATTCTGACATGGAAAATATTGAACACTACAATTTTCAGCCGCTAGAGGGCCCTCGAGTAATATGGCAAGTCAAGCGTCTCATTAATAGGTAAAAGTGGCTATTAATGAGACACTTGGCTTGCCATACCAAACCACCTTCGTCTCGCTCCGGAACCCCTGGAGCAAACGTCAAATCAGCTGCATTTTTCCGCTCTGCTCAGGCGAAATGCAGCTGATTTGACTATTAAAGTGCATTTATTAAGGAAAAGTTAAACCGAGACACAACTTTGCTATAATTTTGAGCAAACAAATAATTGTTTTTAAGTGTTAGTCTTGTTAAGTTCTTGTTAAAGTCCTCCCGTAAACGTTTCCGCAGCCGCTATGTGACAGCCAATTGTTTTTTGGCACAAGACCAGCCCACGTTTCCAGGTGGTCAACGATGACGCATAACAAACACGATGTGTCAGCAGTGACGCATAATAGATGTGACCTATACGGCAAAGCGTCTTATTTATGTGGGTTTTTTTTCCATTTTATTAGACATATTTGGACTGATGCAACTTATACGGCAGTGCTAAGCATACGGCGTAAAGTACGGTACATATTTTGCTCAAAGCATTTCTGTGAACATTCAATACGTTGACCAACCACAGGACATTGAAGTGGCACTTCCAGGCTTTATGCCGTTGTTGCTGCTGAAGACACAGTCCTGATCTATTAATACCTCATCTTTGATGGCTGACTGACTTCATGGTGACTGTTAATGTGCTAAGGTTTCTGTGTATTCTTAGCTCCAAGAGTCTCATGGAGTCCAAGTCGTTGACTGTGTGTTTCTGCCGTTCGGTGACCTATTTTAAGGAGGTGGACGTGTATCGTTATCAGGAGCTTGAAAGCGTAGAGTTGATGCAGCAAGAGACTCTTACCCAATTAGCAATTCTTGACCATGCCTGCAATTTATTGGTTTTGCAAAGAGCCACAGCGACTAAGCAAATGATGCAGAATGTCTTGATGCAGAGAGGGGCCACTCCATATCCTTCACAGAATAGCCGGGAGTGAAAAGCTTTCACAAAGTCTTAGATTCAAGCCGGACCATCTCTCAATCTGTCCACTTCAATTTATTGTCGAGAAAAATACGACTACTCTAAGCCATCTAGATTTACTTGAAGGAGATATGGAGGACATTGTAGTTGGTAGAAGAGGAATGATGCCATTTGTACTGATCCCCCTTCTGAAGCTTAGAGCAACATATGCAAGAGAGGATATCAAGGGCAATCACCTAACCCACTTCTGCAACTCCATAGCTAGCATCTAAGATCTTATTACGTTGATTGATTTCCAGTCAGTTTTGTCAAACTGACAATCACGACAAGGAAATTATGGGAAAATATTCCCACTCTGAGAAATCATCCTTAATGATTATGTGAATGGCTTGGTTCTGTCTAATCTGATTGACACTGATGCAAAATGGTAGACCAAGTCTAGGACTCAAGGATTCAGAAGCACATTACAGCCAATCTAAAACAAAGACAAAGGAGCACCGGTTAAAAAAAAAATCTGTCCCCTGCACTGACTATACTGTGTTAAAATATTCATCACACTCAGTAATGATGTGCTAAGCTCTGTGTTGTCATTGTAGGTTGGCTCTGCTTCATACTGATACAAGAGGTGTAAGACATGCATGCTAAATATACAGATGTATATTTTTTTTGTTTAGTCATTTGGAAGCCAAGTATTAGGTGTGCTCATACAGCATGCAGGGCTGAGAAGTGCCGGTCTACATCCCAGCAAATATGAGCATAATAAAATTCTGTACAAAACTGAAGTGGATTCAGTGCCAGAAAGCATTACAAAAGTGAC